TCCTTTTATATTGACCTTGACTTAATTTATTATGCTGCTATTAGCATTTAAGTACGATTAAATACAAAAAACTAAAACTGCTACAATATCTACTAAGTTTGTGTTAAATTTGTGAACATTTCGGTTATTCTAAGAAGTAGACGTATGAGATGTAGGGTGTCTGTAATCGTTCGATCTTATCGTGTAAGTCCCTCATAGTCTGCTGTTCCAATTTTCGCAATATCCTTAGAATATTTGAATGTGACCTTTATATTTATAAATTCTCGAAAACAATTGTAATCGTCACGGGTAATTGCATGAGTGTTATCCTAGAACATCTATGAATCGCAGACACCCTCCAATTCATTTTGAAGTTTTTCCCGCACGTGTATGTACGAGTATGCATATACATACCTATAGGTATTGCGTGAGTTGATACAAATAGTACTTATTGTACAATTTGCCAAATATTTAATAAATGCCCGCTTGTTGCTAATTTTGTTTGGTGAAAACCAACCAACTTTCATTTACAAATTGAAAAATAAAACAAATCTGCCTATAAACATTGTTTCGCACTCGGCGATAATGTGAGAAATGGCTTCACATTGTTATTTTAAGTTCATTTACACTTCTTAATTCACATAAATTTCATTTTGAAATATCAATAACTCGATTTGGTATAACAATGGTTAGAATACTTTTTGGGAATGCGTTCATTTATCAATGAAAATTCGGTACGAACCAACCGATAGCGCTACCACATTCCCAATTAAAATCAATTCGTTAGTCAGTTTTCGTGCAGCGATAGAGCTATATGGTTACATATATCTAAGCATAGTCGATGAAATGTTTAATTTATTTTTATAATAGCAGGTGCCCTATCTAGTTAGCAGGTAGATACCTTACCCATCGCGTTCTTAGATTCCATACCTTTCCCATATTATATAATACTAGCGGCTCACCCTCGCTTCGCTCGGGTTCGCCTCTAGGAAAACAAAGACAAACCTATCCCACGGGAACCGTACATTTTTACGGGATAGAAAGTAGCCTATGTGTTATTCCAGATTATAATCTATCTCTGTGCCAAACATCCAGATCCGTTCAGCCGTTCTGGTGCGAAAGAGTAACAAACATCCATCCATACTCACAAAATTTCATATTTATGATATGTATTATAAAATACAGATTTATAATGTTAATACAGATGATTACAGAAGTTTTCAGTTTTTTTCATACGCAAATATCATACCGCAGCTTATTTTGTTAATAATAATATGTTCTTTTTATTAGTGAAAACCGTATGAAAATCAGTACAGTTGTAGTTTCTGAGAAAAACCCGAATGAGCCCTAAAGTCAGCAAAGTCAAAATCAGCAGGGACTTCAAATTTTAATATGTGGTGATCAATTCACGGTTAATTAACATTCAATATGTCAAGGCTTATCAAAAATTAATAATATAATTTGTGCACACCAAGCTAACGACTACCGCTAGTACTTACGAGTGTAGCAACCGATTTTGGGTCTCGATTCGAATGGATTAGAAATTGGCCTACTTATGTCTTAACAGAATAATAGTAATCTTTGCCTAATACTTTGTCGAAACGCACTGAGTTTCCTAAAATATATTTGAATAATATTAAAAATACATAAGTATGTAGTTTATTAATTTCTGTGTTAGAAATATTGTAAAGATAAAAAGAAAATTATGTCGAAATAAAATGGTTTGCGATTATAGGACAAGTTATTAGTATATTAAACATTATTATTATAAACTAGCGACTCGCCCTTGCTCCGCTCGAGTTCGTCCCTAGTTACGTTTTAATGTTTAGTAAAGATTTCTCAGAGATGAAAAAGTAAAGAGACAGAAAGAGAATAAAAAGTATCCTATATCAGTAGTAGTATGTTGACCCGGATAACAGTTATCGTCATACCAAATTTTATCAAAATCTGTCAAGTGTTTTTCTCGTGTTGCGGTCACTGACAGACAGACAGAAAAAAAAACAAAAAACCATAGATTCGGCCTCTGTATCGATAAAAATGACTATTTCAATAAGATTTTCCAAATTTTTTTTAATAAATGGTACAGATTCGACTCAGAATTTTATTATATGTATAGATTTTAGATTATTATTATTTGTTTACAATTTTGAATCTAAATATGAACGACTTAATATAATTATTACTGTGTACCTCTATTTATAATGGTTGTTAGTATTTTTATAATATAACATGTAATTAAGTTAATCGCTTTAATAATATGCTGTCAGAATAACGATATATCATTGCTTAGAAACATAAGTGACACTTTTTTCTTCGTAGATTATTATTTTTGGCGAGATTTAGTGGGCGGGATCTATACCACGATAAAAAACCTTTCTCCAATGCAGTAATTTTTCTCCAATCCAATTCTATCTGTAAGTACAAACCGATTTTTTGAATTGATAAGTGTACGCATTCCCGAAAAGTATTCTAACCGTTGTTATACCAAATCTGTCTGTTTGTTTGTTCCACTAATCTCCGAAACGGGTGGACCGATTTTGACGGGACTTTCACTGGCAGATAGCTCATGTTATAAAGAGTAACTTAGACTAACTACTTTTGTTTTAGAAAAAGAATCAGGGTTCCGCGTAAAAAAAACATGAAATCGTGAACAAAGTCCGCGTACCTTGATATTACTAACAAACGGATAGTTATTTTTCTTTTAAATATGTAAATTAAAATATTATACTGGTTTTAGTAGCAACTAATTTTATACGTAGATGTAAACAAAACGTTGGCCTATTCAATTGTATTATGTTACCAGTTCTGATAAAAGATGCATTAACTATTCTCTTGATAGATTACGTTTATAAATTAACTAGCGACTCACCCTCGCTTCGCTCGGGTTCGTCCCTAGCTTGATTCTCCATACAAACTTTCATCCCCATCTTCACACCCTTAAGGGATGATTTCCAGGATAAAAGTACCCTATTTCCTTCCCAGGGTCTCAAACTATCTTCTTACCAAATTTTATCTAAATCGTTTCAGTAGATCCAGAGATTAGGTACCCCCTATAACGTCACAAACTCAAAAACTTTACCTCTTTATAATATTAGTATAGATAAAATTTTAACATTTAAAGATCCTCATTTATGAAAACTTTCCTGTACGTACCTACGAACAATAATCGCATTTTAATATGGCTAAGAGTAATGTGAAAGTATAACGTCGGCGTCATCTTGCGTGCTGGTTAGCATATTACGGGTATAATTTTGGCGTATTGTGTACGGAGAGTGGGTCAAATAATTATTGTGTCATCGGTTGCCCGTGGATTTGCATGTAGTATAGTGATTGAGTAACTGAAGAACTAAAAGCATATGTGCGTTTAAGTTTATTTGATGATATTTGTGCCCATTAATTTTAAGATTATTTTAAATTGTTTTTTTTTTCTAGGTAACACTACTAACATTTTGTAACCTAATCATTACGATCTAGCCAAAGAGGCTAATAAGTAGTTTAACTTTAACTTAGTTTTATAAAATATTATAACTAAAAATTTGTCCAATGGCACTTTTCTTAGTCTCTAGTTAAGGGAAAGACATTTTGTTCTTTGTTCTATATTGGTAGCACTGTAATATTATTACTTTCACTACATTACACTATTTGTTTTAACACTACACTAACTCAAAAGGTTTAGTTATTTTGAGCCTTCTCACTATGTCCGTGTTGTCTTAAGAAGTCTTTGCTCGTGAGTTTCTAATCAAAGTAATTTTAAATTGATAAGAAAAGAAATATCTACATATATTGTATTATTTTTAAACCCAAAAGAATATTAATGAGTGTTAATAGGCTCTCATCTCTAATGATTGTCTGGTTTGTTTTTAAATCTATGAACTTCATTTGAAATTTTAGTACTTAGTTGTATCGGTATGAATCTTACTTAACGGTCACCTGAACCGCAATTTTTAATCTATTTAGGGTGACCAGTAATATTTATTTGGACTATTATTTTTATTTTTTTAAATTATCTTTTTTCAGATATAATTCGCTTTTTCGTTAATGTGTATTCAGCTCATTTTTAAAGTCCCACTGCTGGGCACGTGGCTCCCTTTAATAGGAAGGGACCACGCCATAGTCCACCATACTTGCGAAGCGCGGGTTGGCGTTTTTCACTCATTTCCTCACGATGTTTTCGTTCACCGTACCACCTTCATTAATACATATAACTAGCGGCTCACTCTCGCTTCGCTTGAGTTCGCCTCTAGAAAAACAAAAACAAACCTATCCTACGGGAACCGTATATTTGTCCGGGATATAAAGTAGCCTATGTGCTATTCCAGACTATAATCTATCTCTGTGCCAAATTTCATCCAGATCCGTACAGTCGTTCTGCATGAAAGAGTAACAAACATCCATACTCTCAAACTCACGTTTATAATATTTGTACAGATATACAGATTAGTCTAGATTAAATATAAACATATACTTTTAGTAAAGAGACATGTAGCTTTTTAGTTAAATAAAACTATAGAATACATAATATGATACCCGTGAAACCATAAATTACAAACTACTTGGGAAGTAAGTATTCATACCTCGCAGTAACATTTCGATACCAATAAAGACATTAAGAAATATCATATCGGTGGTATTCTGAGAATATTATTCAGCATTAACTTGACCGTTGTTATAATCATTAGGTTACAGCTCAGATTTCCAATTGGTTGATAGGCAGTACTTTACTCGCGAGTCGCGAGAGACTTATATATCCATTCAAGTCGCGAAACAAGTATCTGGTTTTATGTCATTTAGAAATTTGTAAACATTATATACAGACTTTTTTATCGTAGTTACATGTAAGATAAAGGATTAGTTGGTTTATAAAGTAGCATTTATCCATAGTAGATTTGAATTATCTTATTTTTTTTAATAAGTAAAACTGTTGACTAATATGTAAGTAATGGAGAAAGTATTTGAACAGATTGTTCCTAATTATGCTTCGTGTATTTGAATATTTTTAATATGACGCTCCAGGTGACAGAATGTCTCGCAATAAAGACAAGCATGAGGGCGCGAGTGGGCGCACGCATCACATTATGTCGGAGGCGGAGCGGGCATCTGGCAGGCGCGGAGGCTGGACCACGCTTGAGGTAAGATTTGGCAAGTTTAAATCTTTACAGACTTTGTTTTGGTTTTATCTTGATTTTTTTATTCCCTAAGCTCAACAGCTTTTTTTTTTACAAAAAAAGTAAATATTCTAAAAATCTTGTTAACTTGAAAAAATTATAATAAACAAAACAAGTATGTATTGAAATTTTAAAAACTTTCATGGCGTTATATTGTTAAATATATGCACACAATATATAATTAATATAAGTAAGTAAGTAGTATATAAGAAGGGCTCTAAGAAGCGAAAAATTTATAGACCTGAATAATAATTTAAACATTATTTTTTGTCTTCAGTGACAAGGAAGGTCCGACAAAATTTTGTTAATTAACAGTCGCCTAACTTTTCGGAAAATTCACTTATTTTTTTTTTCTAATGGGACTAAATTCTTTGAAGTGTTTACAATATACCATAATTTATTCAATTTTTTAAATTGTTATGTGATACTGTAAAACATTTTTTTACATAATGTACTCGCTGTAGAGCCGGCGCGCGTACATCTCATCGGCCGTTTGGATACCTGTTTTAGCGTTAAATTAAAATTATAAATAATGGAGGTAGAGTTCGGGAGTCGGAATTTTTTTACTGGAAATTTCCTCCTCTTTAAGGATCTTTTTTTTAAATTTCTGAATTGTTAATAGTTTTTGAATTATTAGCGTAATACCTACTAAATGCCTTCTTTTTTCTATCTTTATTTGTTTATAACTTGCAATATTTTACACCCTGAAAAATAGTTTTAACACATTTTTCTAGACATCATTCTAGATCCAATGACCTATCGCACATATTTTTAGGAGCTTCATCTCTAATTTTCACCTTTTACAACTTGTGATCTAGGCTAAAAGAAGGTTTGCTTCAACCGCACGTAAATATTACACGCTCTCATTTTTTTTTAATAATTAGTTAAGCAATAAATTTAAAAAGTCACGAAGATCTAAGAAAGTTTTATTTGGAAAGTTCTTACTTGCTAATTTATCAATATTTTTGTTGCCAAGACGCTTGGAGGCTGCAGATTGGTTAAAGCGTACATAACGGTATAATTGAAACGAGAACGGCTTTAGTTCTTACATATTTGCCAAAATTTTTGTCCACTACTTACATGTTGGTAAACTGACACTTAGTCACGTGTGTGGCTAACCTTATTTGAAATCAGAACAAAATAATAGAAATAAAGTTAGATGTATCACAAATTTAATATTGCTTCTATAAAAGTTCTCTGCATCACCTTTTTGAGTCATTTTTGTCATCATTAACCTTCCACCAAAGACTATGTAATTGATGTAAATGATAATTAATTATCAACCGAAAAGTTATCGCTATATAATTAATTATGATTAAGGGCTTTTATAAATCCACTTATTGATACAGCTGAAACAAGGTCTTCGACCTCTACTATGTATATATAACCTATCTAATATATAAATATCTCATGTCACGGTGTTTGTGGTTGCACTCTCCGAAACGGCTCGACCGATTTTAATGATTTTTTTGTATCATATATACATAGATAGATAGAGATAGAGAATAGGTCGTAATGTATTTTTCACACTCGATTTTAATATATTTGTATAAAATATTGTAATATTGAAATTGAAATTGAATTGAATTAATTAAAATTGAAATAATATTATACAAACACAAAGAGACGAACCTGAGAGCTGCAAAAGAGGTTTTTTTTATAGATTAAAAGCGGGCGAAGCCGCGGGTACAGCACACCATATAACTAGCAAATTGTATATAAATATTGATAATACAGTATTCTTATTTTTAGTTCTTACAAAATAATATAAATGTCACGTACTATGATAAAAAATAAAAGTTTCTACCGGTTACTTTGTATGTAATAATTAAATTTTTAATCGTCAGATAAATCATTTTAATAGATACCTAATTGGGTTTCTATTTTTACATTAATAATATTATTGAGTGATATAAATATTTACTGAAAAGCCTGTTAGCTATGTTGTCACTTGTGTCGTAATATTTTGGTTAAATAATTCAATTCAATTTTCTTTCTAATGGCTTTCAAACGTGTCAGTAGAGCTCACAGATTACTTTGCTTATATCACGTAGAATGGAGAAGACACGAGGGAGATGGTTAAATAATTTCACGACCACATGTCACAGTGATCGATGCTATGATCGATCGAGTGATCGATGAACAGGTCAGAGATTCTACTTCCACGCGGAGTAAAAATCTAAATATATGCCCATGTGTCCTGTATGTGTTTAGTTTAGTTTATTAGTTTTACTGCCTCTGTGGTGTAGTGGCTAGCATACATGGTTGCTTACCCGGAGGTCCTGTGTTCGAGTCCCGGGTCGGGCCAAGTTTAGTTATTGAGTCTTTCCGTATAGTAAGCCTCAGTAACAGCCCGGAGTTGGGAAGTTGGCGGTGTTTCACCCCCGTGCCTGTCCTGCCGTCTGTCCTGCGCCTTAACTCTCACCGGTCGTGTCGAGTAGTCGTCCCACCGGAGTATGAGAGTGACAGGAATAGAGCGCACTTGTGTCTGCACGTACACTTGTGCACTATAAGATCTCCTGCGCAGTTGCCTAGTCTCAATGAGATTGGCCGCCGTGGCCGGAATCGGTTAGGAGAACATCATCATATGTTTAGTTAGAATTTTCACATGACCTTAAATAAAGATGAGTTTATGTCAAAAGTTAGATTACCCCTAAGTAAGACAAGACGTAACTTAAGCTCTATTAATTAATTACATAAGGTTCCTGAAGTGGAGTGGGGTTCCCAAAATCTCTACATGCCCTTATCTCGGGAGGAGGGAGGGAAAAAGCCATTACGTAATATTTTATAAGTCGAAATGTGCGATTTCTAACATATAATGATGGATGTTTGAGAGCTAAGCGTTGGGGAAAACAACTCTTAGATTTATTTTTTCATTTTAGTGTACAATTTCATTTAAACATATTTTTATTTTAATTTTTTTTATTGTTTATTCATTTTTAAAACTAGATAAAATCTTACGTAAGAAGGGAGAGTCCGAGAAATCTTACATGGGGATAAGGGGGGTCGAATATTGTCAAAATTGCCCTTACGTAATTAATGAATAGCCCCTTACAGAGTAAAAATTGTATGAATGATGTCTCATAGCTAAACTTATATGTTCCAGATAACAGGAGGTGTGCGCGCTTTGGCGCCTCAATTATTTCAACTCACGCATCTGACGGCGTTGTACCTGAACGACAACTCCCTACAGAGGATCCCCCCCGACATCAGTCAGCTAGTGAACCTGCACACCCTCGACATGTCCAACAATAAGTTACGCACTTTACCTGGTGAGCTGGGAGATCTGATACAGCTAAGGTAATAAAACTTAAAGCGTACTTATATTTATAGAATTCTTTTGGACTTTTCAGAATCAAACAAAATTAAAGTAGTGAATTCATACATTAAGTATCATCGTACTTATTTTTTTATTATTTTAGTATAACTGGTATGATATTTGGTATTTAAAATGACTCGATGTTAAATATAATTTTAGTATGTAGATGTAAAGAAAACTAGGGTTAAAAAATATTCAAACTGAAAAGTATAATTAAAATAGAGTATATCTTATTATAATATACTAAGACTTGTCTGTGATGTGTCGTTTGCGTGTATTTCTTTCATAATCATATGGATATGATCCGATTTTTTTATATAGTACTTATAATAGCGCGTTACAATAGGGAGTTTAAGTTTTATATTATTTGAAAATTCTCGACTGAATGGCATTAAACTTGTTTCTGTTGAAACTATGAAATACGTAAAAAAAACTAAAAATCCATAATAACATGTATCTAAAAATAAAATTCTACTTATAAACTATTTCCCTCTTGTTGTGAAGATTGACAGTGTTAGGATTGAACAAGTAGTAAATTACCTGTACAAAAATGTTTGTGCAATCGTTGTCGACATCAACGCGAAAAGGCCATCTAAACTTTAAATTGTTATTTTCGTTTCGTAAAAAAAATATGAAAAATACGTTTTTTTTCTGGAGCATGTTCTTTTTTTCAAGAGTATAGAATTTAAAATTATTAAGGTAGTTTCCGTAAAAGATTAATACTTAAGAGTTCATATTAGAGTTTTCTGTTTATTTTTTAAACCTACCATACTTTTTTGGTGGAATAGTTAGTACCAAGCTTACATATGAAAACTCTGACACTGACAAGTACAAGACTAGAGTAGATGGCACTGATACTGAAAGTGACACAGAGGAAGAATATTTTTTTATTGATTTGATTCATTATGTTTAATTAGATTTGTAATTTTCGTAAAATGTAAGAAATTAGAAAACATCTCAATAAACCATTTAATAATTTAAATAAAAGCAAATAATTTCCTATCGATTTTATTTCTGAAAAAAAAACCTAACCTAAAAAAGTAGTTTTTTTCATGTTGCAACTGGGCGTTATAGATTTAGTCCTCGATAGTGCATAATACAGATAAATTATGTGCTGGGTTAGTTTATAAAAATCTACGTATAAAAAACTAAATTTAACTTATACCTGTTGATCTTTAAAACCGAGTTTTTTTTCCCGGATTTTCTACAGCGGGGTAGGGAGTAAGTGGGTCTTCTTATAAGATGGTACGGTATGTTGTGTAGGCGAAAAGCGAAGCAATGGCTAAAATATATCGTAATATATGTATTTATTCATTATAATATTTTTTTTTGTTTTACTATCGTGTACTTGTTTGCATATAAATGTGAAAATTTATGGCAATTAGAGCACACTTTTTATATTACTTAGCAAAAACTTTGGTCGATTGTCGACGAGTTCTGCGAATAAAATGACAATTTCCTTCAACGAAATGGCGATTTTGTATAAACAAGATCAACTCAAACGTTCAAAGTGGAGCAGACCGAATTAGCAATTTGATTCATCTTTGTAAACCATATTGTATACACACTGTTGATAGTTTAATTTTAGAAGTAAAACGTTAAATCTGTTTTCTTTGTTTGTAATATTGTGTAAAATGTACTGAGTGATTCAAATTTGTGCAAAATTAGCAATAGATAACGTTATCAAGATGGAAATAAAAGCAAATAAATTCGTTATATTAAATGTATGATTTTTCTTGCTATGAATAAAAAGATAATCGTTTGCATCTTCAAATATATATAATACAAGCGACTCAACCTCGCTTCGCTGGGGTTCGTCCCTAGCTTGATTCCCAATACAAACTTTCTATCCCTTAAGGGATGATTTCCGGGATAATAAGTATCATATGTTCATCCCAGGGTCTCGAACTATCTTCTTACCAAATTTCATCTAAATCGGTTCAGTAGATCCAGAGACTACTCCCTACAACGTCACAAACTCTCAAACTTACAAACTCTACCTCTTTATAATATTAGTATAGATGTAGATATATTTTAATTGATACTTTTCAATATACTACATAGTGATAAGGCTCCTTTCACACAATCACCTTCGTTAAGATCATTATGATAAATAATAGATAAAGCACCTTGGACAGGTTGAAAATAGCGTATGTTATTGGCTTACAAAACAAACGGGTTGCGTGTATACAAGGTCTTTGAACTCCGGCTTGCCATGATAAGCGAGTAAATTGACGACGTTATTAGTAAACACTTGTGATCTGAAAACAGATTTGTCTTATGTTAATATTAATAAACTATTTATTATCATTATTATACATATTTTAGTACGGAGTTTAGGGATATCCATATAGTATATATACTATATAGGGATAGAAATGCAGTGTTGAAATTTGTTTTACTATGTACTTAATAAAACTCTGACATTGATTGATAGTATTATTTTATTATTATTTTCGAGCAGTTAAAAGTATCCTATATGATGACCCGGATAACTGCTATCATCATAACAAATTTCATTAAAATCTGTCCCGTGGTTTTCTCGTAATGCTTACCCAGATAGACGGACAGACAAATATTTTAAAAACTATAAATTCGGTCGCTGTATCGATAATAATGACTATTTCAATAAGATTTTCCAAAAAAATATTTAATATACAAATTCGACTCAGAATTTTATTATATTATGTATATATATACCTACATTTTGCACAATCCTAAGAAAGTCCCTTATCGTAAGAAAAAATATAAGAAAATTATTTCCCTAAGCGGTTTAAGTAAAGGATAAGCTACTTTTTACATAGATATATTCCGTTCTATAGGTATATTTTTTGCAAAATTTACTCAAGTTATTTAAGGAGCGGTCGGACTAGTCATATGACCTTCTATGGCGGTAAACAAAACGTGTGTATAATAAATGCTATTTTTTATTGTTATTGTAGAATGTTTATTTACTAAATTAATGTTTAAGATGTATGACTTAGAAAGGAACACAATTTTTGGTGTTGGTTATGTTTTAAGAGGATAATTGTAGGTATAAGACACATAACTTTAAGACTTGCCTTATATTATTATTTAATAAAGTTTTTCACACTTTATGTTATACACATAAAAGTATGTAGTCTAAAATAATAGTGTGGAAACTCTTATACAAATAATAATAAAATACTGTTCTTCGACAAGCATATCATTTGAAAACCCCTGGACAGATTGACTTGTTTTTTTTTTAATTGGTATAAAGGACTTTAGGGAAAATAAAGTTGGATAAGTTACAGAGAATCATACAGAATGTACGATTTTGTATGAACGCAAATATTACAAACAATTTTTTCTATAAATATTGTAATTTTTAGACAGGACCTCGTCTGTCGGTATCGGTCATAATTTTCATTTGACTTTTATATCATAAAAAAATATGTAGAAAATCTTCTTGGCCGTAATATTGGATGAAAAAAATAAGTAGAAAAAATAGTACCCAATGTTAGATAACAGAAATCTGGCTTCGTTCTAGTTACCACGGGACGTTTTTACTTTAATCTTCTTTTATGACGCATATGAAATGTTTATAAACCTTACGTAGACGTGTGATAAGCTATTAATACTCAATTAAAACTCCAAGTTAGTGATAGCCGTTAATGTAATGTAATATTAATCTTTAGATGGTTAATGAAAAGAAATGGTATTTTGCGAAAATTTCGCTATATTCATTGCTCAGTACCAGATTCTTTTAATGATATTTTACACAAGTGAAGCGGGTTCAATCTCTGTGTCTTGCATCTATAATATTTTCATTTAAGTTTTTTTATACCACATATATATTTATTATTTATAAATTACCTTAAAAATGTTTGGAACAACTGCAATTCCTTTTTTAATATTGCCCTTGTATTTTTTCCAAAATTTTAGGTACTTTTTCTGCGATTTTTTTATTGTCTGTTCCATTTGACTTTGAAAACGACTTATCGGGTTCATTATGTACTACTGGTACTAGGTTCGGCGTTCATTATTTCCAATTCTGACGTTTGGAGATGAGTGATATTTTCAATAATTCTTCAATACAGTTCTTCTGCAAAAGCAATAACTGCAGTTTTATTCGTATTATTAAGTTTATATAGTTATTCATAGTAAAAAGTGTCTCGAGTCTCGACACGAAAGTCTCGGGACGTCGAGACACGAGACATCCCGGCTCCCAAACCTTAATAACAACTAATAAAATATTAACTAAGTAATATTTATAATATTAAGTGACAGTTAAGATGTTTTTCTTACGAATTATCTTTTGTATATTCTAGTTATGTGCTAAATGACAGATCCATATGTGTTTTATTTACTTACAAGCAATGCCTTGAACGCAATTATCATATATTACTTTAAGATAATTAATTTACTACGCTCTTACATATACTATTATTTTAATAATTATATAGTTGAAATTTTCTATTTATTACATAATCATACACAGTGCAAAATCTTTATTTTTCCAATAGCTTTGTCTTACGAAATTCGAGAGATATTTGCCAAGCATTGTTACCTTTCTACGTTCTATCTAAGCTCTGTTTCTGAAATTAAAAATTCTCTATTTACTTACTCCCGGATTCTCTTATTATAAATCTGTATGGAAAATGTCGTCGATTCTTTATTGTATGAAAGAAGGCCCGACAATCATATTTTTTCACATAATATTATAATGAGGACAAGTTAAATTTTTAGGTAACATTATATTTTCGTTTGAAAGGGTATACTTCCAGATTGGTCCCATTTAAATTTCAAAAAAAAAATTCCACCCCTAAGGGTGGAAAAACAACTAATGATGAATTTAACCTACTTCTCTTTGAGTTTGGGCTTATTTTGTTTGATTTGACAAGCCTAACACGTTAGAATATTTTCGAAGTCGGTGTGCTTTGGCTAAGTGATTAAAGCCTACCTATTAAATACATACCTAATCAAATATTTTAGAAATCGGTGCCAGCCCATACAAAGCAAAGCACACCGACTTCGAAAATATTTGATTAGGTATGTATAGTAAATCAAAACTACCAATCAGTTATTTTTTACTTTTTAGTGCTTTTGTTTGAAGTCGGTTTTTATTTTTTTGTTAAAAAGTTTTTATCTTATATTTACGCTAATGTTTGACATCTATTAATCTATACATATAATAAAAATCTGAGTCAAATCTGTACATTATATAGTTTTTTTTTCGATTTTTGTCTGTTTATCTGTCTGGGAACGCGGGAAAGTCGCGGTAGAGAATAAAGCTTTTGAAGCAATTTATAAATATTTAGACGGTGTTTGTATACCCACAAAAATTATGAGAAAAGAGAAATCATCAGGGATGAATAAGAATTTAAAAAATATTAACTGCAAAGCATTTGCAACGTCGAGACCAAAAAACAAGAATAAAATCCCGAAAATAATCCATTTTGTATACAATATCGCTGTTTGTTACAGAGAACTTCACTTACACAACAACTACCTTAGAGTGTTGCCATACGATCTCGGGAAGTTGTTTCACCTCCAACTCTTAGGTCTTCAGGGAAATCCACTCAGCAAGGAAATGCTATCCATTTACAACGATAACAACGGTACTGCTAAGCTGTTGACGTATCTGCTCGATAATTTACAAGGTAAGCCTTTATGGTATATGTTTATTTTTAGTTTATAGTCTTAATATCCGTAGTAATATTGGCCTTCGCTCATCTACATACTGAATGTAAAGTGTTTTAAACAAATATCAAGCAATCCAAAGGACAAACGTCTTATAAAAACATTTGGTCAAAGGTCCATTTGTTATTTTGTTTTAATTATTTGCTCAAACTTCCTTATGATAAAGGAAGTTTTTATTCTAAATCTTTCGTGCAATGCCTCTCATTCCTGCCTTTTTGCCTATGATTAATGTCAATGTATATATTTCAAAGTCGTTAATCATGAACAATTTTACTCAAATAAATTAACTTCTACATATTCATCTTACTTTCATTAGCATCAGTTAGTTTTACTTAGAGATTAGGTGAAAATTAAAAAATAATAATGGTGTCCTTAAAATTTCAAAGTGATTTCGAGTGTTTCGATTACATGCTAATTTAGTGACATTGAATTCATTTTGTTATATTAACATAATTAATCATATCACTTATTTATTATAAGTCCGGTGTAAGAATTGTATTCACTTATAAAATCATTATAATTGTTATCAGTCATCGATCTCTTGATTTGAAATTTATAAATGTTAAATTTTGTGTTAATATTACTCGTTAATATTGAAGTCGTCATAGTTTCTCCGTAGATTTACTTTTAGAATGGGTGTTTGTATAATAGTTCTGATATTATGCGATAGGCATACATTTTTGTGACATTTGACATGAATGTTACTTGATTTACTTCTTTATTGTTACTTTATCTAACTCAGTAGAGGGAAATGTTTTTTGAATATTCAATATATGTATGTCAATTCAGGCCAATTATGTCCGTTTAGATTTTCATTATTGAAATCAAAACAGACGTCCCATATTATTATACTAGCTACTCAACTTGAAACAATAATCAGCAATGAGATGATGGGTTTATAGTGTATATTCACAGATGGCGCTTTTGCTTTTTGTGAAATTTTTAAAAATTGTTAAAAATCACAGATTTTTTTCATTCACAGAATGAATTGTACAATATTTACTTTACGTTAGTTTCCACATATTTATAAAATAAACAGTTTAACTATTTGAGAATCAATGGCATCTATTGCCTATTTCAAGCCTACGAAAATAGCCCAAATTAGCGCTGTCCAATTTCTTTGTATGGAATGAGGTATCTGTACTAAGTAGTATTATGTGATCTGTGATGAGAATTAAGCGATCATGATAGGTAGAATACATACGTCATAGAATTATTCGCTTAATAAAAGACAATCTTCTATGTACTTAAAAGATAAAGGTTGATTCAGTTTTTTAATATATTTATGTTATAATTCTTAAGTTAAACTCTCTTTTGTTTTGTTTCTTACAAAAAATTTTGAAAGACAAACTTTATTCATGCTATAAGATTTATTTAGCCACATTTTACGCAATTTGAATGTTGCAATGGCATTAATGATCTATATCAAACTATTTGTCTGTAGCTTGTGGATTTACATTTTCAATGCTTTCTCTAAATGGAAGCGACAGCAAGTAGGTTACTTTAACTGTCTGTTGAATTTTAATTGTTCTATGTAGTTTCATCAGACTTTTATAGATGGCGCTGTAAGGCTATGAACATATTACAACTAACGCCATCTATTAGAATACGAGAGAAGTTTTTGAAGTTATACTTCTTTTGGCGCGTTTGGGAAAAAATGATGAGAGTGAATTTTTACGATGCGACAGATTTAGACTACAGTATGAAGTTAGTCGTTAAATTTCCTTTTTGGTATAGTATGAAGTGATGTCTATATTCAAGATATTTTTTCCGGTATTTTTACATTCATGACACATGATTTTTATATCGATAAAAATAATAATAATTATTTAGTTTTACCTGTCCCGGTGTTTGTCTGTAATCAAATCTTGCAAGTTAAATGGCTGGCCATAGTATATGTATATAGTATTATGCAGTCACATACGAGTATGTACATCTCGCGGCAAGGATGAAACGTGTATGTCTCCGACCGTATAATACTATATTCTTTCGTGAACTTATTTTTATCTTTTTAGTTAGCTTTTATGCAGCCGGGTTTTTTAATGTTCTGATATCTCATTGCGAAATTACTTTTTCAAAGTTAGTCAAGACATTTCATAGTACTTTCTTAGATTTACGCGAATATTTGACATTTTAAATAAAACTAAATAATAATAGCAACACTAAATAATAATATTAGTAATTGATAAAGTTTCTAAAAAAATCTAATATTTATAATAATAACAGCTAAAATTAAATAAATAATATTGCTATATTTAATTATAATAATTATGATATTTTTTTAAATGCTTAGAAATAAAAAATCAACAAATATTCTTTGGTGTCATTTTTTGAATTTTTGGAATCATTTTCGTATAAAATAGTGGTGTGGCACTGCTTGTAACAAGTGTATAACGCCTTTGAAACGTCTATAACCTTAGTCTCTCCCGTGACCATGATTGCTGTAAAGCATTCGAAACGTCGGGATTTAAAAATCGTTTCGTTTAGTATCCATACTTCCATACTTAATATTATAAATGTGAAAGTGTGTTTGTTTTGTTATTCCTTCTTCCACACACAGCGGATTTCGAATTACGATTTCGAAACAGCGGATTGGCATCTTTTTTGTGGATATAGTTGGATAGAGTAACATAGGCTATTTATTCCCGAGGGAGATAATGTTATTCCCACGGGAAAACACGTTCTAATACAATCCATAAGTACTTAGGGACGAACCCGAGCGAAGCGAGTGTGAGTCGCTAGTTTATTATATGTATATTAATGCACATAGGAAATCTAACTCGCGTCTAAGTTACAGATATGAAACTCTATAGTTCTCGTATTTTACAGTATTCCCATACAGTTTCTATATTACGAAACCTTGGAAAAAAACTACAAAACATCCAGATAAGTTTGACGTTTATTTCGACGTTAAAGTGTTACTGGACATAATTATATATACATTGCATATGTTCTTATTAAAATATTTCATATTATGATAAATAAAAATATACATATTATTAAGTAGGTAGGTAGGTACATATGTATTTGGATTTTAATAAATTATTCTACTAAATTTGGTAGCTAACTATAGTGACACAGTTTTACACAAATTAATACTCCACATTAAACGACCGTATTGTCTCCATCATAACTGTCGGTGATTGTTCAGATTGAGTTGTTCGAGCGTCACGCGCTTTCAATTATTACACCTTTTATTTCCGCGCACCGAATGAACGTGCTTTTTACTTAAATCTTCTCTATTTTCTTTAGATTGTATTAGAAAGTAAAACGTTTACTCACTTCTCATATTGCTTCTGTTGTTAAAATTGTGTGAAATGCGAATTTATTTTAAAAGTGTGCTTATGAAGAAATGAAAAATATGTTCAAGATAATACAAGTACACTTTTATGTTCATGTAATCATTAGAAATATTATTCAAAATGGAAGTAAATATAATGAAATATTTATACTAATTTAAATAAAACTATTTTTTTTTTTGCTTATTTTTATTTTGATCACAAGAGACACTGATTATTCGAAATGAGTGGAAGCCAGTTCAATATAAAACTTAAAAAAAACCTGAAAAATCCTATACCTGGAAAAAAATTGTTTGTAGATTTTTTACACAAGTAGGTACCTACTTTATATTGTGTGGTGGCGCGGAAACCTCGATTCGCACGTCAGATTCGTATTCAGCTGAATTTATTTGTTTTTGCACCACATTAAATTGAGAGCATTTTTAAAGATGATGATGTTCTCCTGACTGATTCCGGCCACAGCGGCCAATCTCATTGAGACTAGCCAACTTCGCAGGATGTAGTGCACAAGTGTACGCGCAGACACAACGTGCACTCTCTATTCCTGTCACTCTCATACTCCGGTGGGACGACTACTCGACACGACCGGTGAGAGATAAGGCGCAGGACGCTTTAAATATTTAAAGATATTAAAATAGAAGTTGTAAATTCCACGGTATTTAATTATACTGTTGCATATTTTTTTGCAACTCGACTACACTATAAATGCTAATTTTCATTAATTAACTAAAGCAACGGAGATATCTAACGGACTTCCTATCCCGTTGTGTTGGATGATATGGAAGTCCGCTTGCAATAATATTCGATTATTCTCAAGTACGGTCGCTTATGTACTATAAGTACTAAGATTTTTTTTGGTTCATCTCAAGAACATTAGTATCTACAATTTAGTACATTGCTTAAATAAACACTTGTTTATTTTTATACTTTACTATGACTAACGTATTGTTGCGAAATATTAATACGAAATATTATGTTCATAATGTACTATGTAATATTAAAATAACTTTAGACATCCTAATTCATCCCATCACTACGTCGTGGCCTCAATGACCTACTCGCATTTGTTCCAAATAGATTCGCACCGAAGGTCGTGTAGATCATAAATGAAAGTCAACAGCAGAAATCCCGGTTGTTCAACAAAAATAATGTCGTGATTACACTCGACGAGCCATGACAATAAATCCGCGAGATATGATTGTCTCACTCAGCCACAATAGCGTTAGAAAGTGTGGGAAGACGTCCGTCTAGATAATATAATTGATTGTTGGAGACCAAGACTATTGGAGAAAACGTCCGTGGAAACGTCCGTGGAAACGCATGTTACAAGGCAGCGGTATTATTTTTGTTCGCAATATTGAAAAGCATTTGTTCTTCCATGGTTTTCTTTTCAATTGACACTGAACGGTGGCCATAGTTTTAACAAAGCTGCGTGACCTGCTTCAAAGGTCTTGCGCTCTTTGTGGGGTCTATTTTGGTTGTATACGCTTTTTTAGGTTTCACTGTAAATGGTCGTGAGTAATGGTTGTCTAACTTTGGGAAAGTATTGAAATATTTTGGGCCACGTTCATTAATAGGTAAGGTTAATGGTAAATTCTTTATTTGACTGAATTGTCTTAAATATTTTGAATGCTAGAAATCATGCAATTACACTACTTAAG